CATTATCCATTATCCATTATCCATTATCCATTATCAATTATTATAGAAAATATCACGAAAATAAAGATTACCTTGAGCATGTTGACGAACAAGTATCAGAAATGCAGCTCTCCGACCTTGGAGAAAGTCCCAGTCGATCCAAAGATATCTTCTCAGCGGAAAACCCAGTCTATGAGGCAGAGATGGGAAAACAGCAAGGAGGCGCTGAAGCGCAATGCAAGGGGGATGAAGTGAAAAATGATTCGTTCGCAATTTCTTATCCCCGAGAAGATTTCGAGAAATCAATCACCGACCATCAAGGGATGGAAAATCCAGTTTATGGATTAATGTTAGACGTAGAACAACAAGATGAGGATTTCAAAGGCATACTTCAATTGAAGAATCCAGACGGTGACTCGGCTCTTCCTGAGGCGCATGCGCAGACCTCAGGCTCTCCAATACGAAAAGAACAGTACCATGGCACCATCGAAGTGGACAATCCATCCTTAGAAATCGACATCTAACTAAGAGCCTCGATTGGAATAGACCTTTGCAGAATTCACTTGGATCACTACRAAACAATGGTTTCAAGTCGAGGTTGGATATCCAAGTCAAATGTAACCCAATCAAAACTGTACTGATTTACTTAGTGTTATATACCATGTTTCTCTTTTTAGCAATGTAACAATATAATATCCTTATTTTAGCTGATAATACAATATAAATACAATAACCTTTTTAGCTGGTAATACAATATATTGCGATAATCTTTTAAGCTGATAATACAATATAATACAATATCCTTTTCAGCTGATAATACAATAAAATGCGAAAACTATTTTTTAGATGATAATACAATAACCTTTCAAGCTGATAATACAATATTAACAATATCCTTTTTTTAACTGATTTTTTACCTGATAATACAATAAAATGAGATATTTTTAGAGAATCGTAGCCTTCTGCCAGGATTTTTTTCCATTTTACCTTTGCTCTGTTTGCATTTTTGCAAACGAGGGAAGCAAAACAAAAATGACGATGGGTAAATAGGAGAGAAAATTTTTAAGTTCCTAAGACGATGAAGTAGCTAATTTGTTATAGAACTTCAAGGTACGAGTTCCAACCACCGAGTACTTACGTATTTTCAGCTCCTCTAAAAATTCCTCTGACAATTTTCCCTTCAACATTTAAGATGAAACTGTAAGGATCGGAACAGAAGAAAATGACAGRGGGATTTTTCAGATAATTATATACAGTGCGCGCAACCATGTGACTCAAAATCCCTTGAGATATGAATAACAATGAAACAACCACCATCTCGGTTGATCTAACAAGAGAAGCTAATAAGGAATGCTTTGTTATCGTCAACCAAGATGGCGGCCATGACGTAACATCCACATGCTCTATTGATTTCCTTGTTTTGATTTGTGAAGTACTCGGTTTCCCATCATGCTTTGTGCTAGAGATTCGTGCTCCTATCAGTGCCTATTGTTAATTTGTGGGAATAAGATAAAAAAAATCGATTCACGAAACAAATAAAGAATCATTGGACAAAAGACTTCTGGTAGATTATTAACGACAAGTATTTTAGTTTAGTTTAAATTTCATTGTTAAAGTGAGGCCATATAATGCATAATAACAGACCTATATCGAATCGATCCGGCGGTGCTCTTGGAAAACCAAGTTGGTTTTTTTTTTCAATTTAAACAAAAGTTCTGATTTATTGCAGCGTTATAGAGTTTCGTGCCAACATCCTTACAAGACATCTATTTCAGAATTCACCAATCAAATGCCCGCTTTTATTTGACTCTTTATAAAGTTCCATTGCAACTGTTGGGCTGCTTGTACGCGGCAAGTGGCTTTTTATTGCAAGCTAGAAAATAGCAAACTACCGTCCTCGGTTTCACTTCGCAAGAACCTCCAGTAACATCAGGAGTGCCACAAGTGTCCATCCTTGGACCGCTGCTCAGTATTCCTCTCATTTTTGTCTCAATATTCCTAATTTGTTCACGTTGGTTGTTTTGTGAAAAACCAATTTCATGTCGTATCATGTGCATACTCAAAAACTGTTCATTGAACTTTGTCATTCTTAATTATGATCTCTGAGACATTGAAATGTTAAAGTCTGTTATGTTAGTTTTTATGGTAAAAGGTTTACCAAAAGCTACAGTAATTAGAATTAATCTAGGACCAGCGTCTGGACTAGAGAAGCGTAATCATCTCGTACAACCAGTCAGAGTAACACGACGCAGAGTAAAAAGTATTCTTCAAGATGTGCAGTGATCACGTTACGAATATTTAGCGTCACGTGACCTTTCAATGCGGAAATTTGTGAAGACTGCACAACACAGCCGTTAGAGCTTGTTGACTTCGCTATCTATAGGCAGCGCAGATTTTCTTCCAAACCTTTTCTTATCGCCTGAGTTGGAAAATGAAATGGAAAGTGCTGTTTGTGGTATTATAAGCAAGACCATTGCTTCGTGAAGGTAAGTGGTTATTTCAGTGTTTAAGATTCGTCTTTTTCGCAGTCAATTGCTTACAGTACATTGCAAACATGTGTGTCTGGCTTGAGACCCCGCGTAACTAGAGGATTGTACTAGAGAAGTGTATGATGTGATGGTCAACGATGCAATTAAGATGTGATGCATATTGTCGTATGAAKAATAATATTGCTAAAAAATAAAATAAAAATCTCTCTTGATATAAGTTTTTAGCAAAAACACCATTATTATGAAAAATTAGAAAGTTCACGAATCTAAAAAGCGGCAATGTCATCTAATGGAAATAGGCGACTTGCACTAAGAGGTCACGTGATCAAATCGGCCATCGTTTATTGGGAAAAAATTGAAAGGTAAATGTATATATTTCAAATGTTTGTCCGAGGAGACCCTTTTGAATGTCAACACTGCTTTAGTTCAATTCGAAAAATTAAGTATTCTTTTTATAGTCTCTTTTTGACAGAGTATAGTCGTAGGCAGAACAGTCTAGTTGTTTGTTAAAAATTCCTATAATTCCTTCTGAATACCTTTGAGTTTGGTTTGACTGAGAGAAAATTGTGCATAATGTCTTCTTTTTCAGATTCGAAGAAAAACGTTGCAAAAKAATTTCTTGAAGCAGTGCGCTGATTTAGAGCAAAGGGAAGATGGGCAAGAAAATGAGAAGAAGAAAAAGAGAAGAGGAAGGGAAGGAAAAGAAAAGGGAATCAGGTATTTTGGTCATTAAATTTCATCTAGCCCTACTCGCAATCTCGTACCCAGAGTCTTTATTTCTGAGCGCGCATGCGTAAAACATGATTCTATATCGTGCGCATGTGCATGAGCATATGTTAATGGACAAGTGCGCGTTACAAATAATATTCAAGTTCTATTGTCACTCGAAATCAAATATCTAAATTTCGATTGGTAAACTTTTTGATATTTACCCACACACACACAAAAAAAGGAACAGAAGATGTGCAATGTAATAATTCGTTCGACTGAATAAAAAGACACTCGACTCCAGACACCTTTCTTTCTTACTGCGCATGCTTAACCAAATAAGCATGCGCAGTAAGAATGACAGGGATCTGGGGTCGAGACTGCTAAAATGACTGTTTAGGCATGCGCACTACGATCCGCACCTCCTGATTAATGTAAAGATGGCAGCTATATTTCGAATCTTTCGTGGGGGGGAATTTAAAAAATCTAGTTAGAACGAAATAAGAAATCCATAAGAAAACGCATAAGAAAACGCATAAGACCAATAATTGAATGATCAAACGTCGAACTTTGCTATTTAAAACTTTCATGGTTTTTCAGTACGGTTGGGAACGTTTGTTTGCTAAATTTGTAAGTTGTAAGCTAAAGTAGAATCAGTTCCTTTAGCGAGTTTCGTGCAAATAATGACATAGTTGACAAGATGGACCGAATCTATCAACCTGAGAGGAGGGCGGTCTTCTAACGAACCTACTTAATTAGACTCAAATAAATAGACTTAATTCACTTATAAAAGTTCTTTTATTAAGCTAATCTCCAACAGACGTCGATATTCTCATAACAAGGAACATGTGATTTTGTAATAACGAGTTAGGGACATTCCTGATATGGTGAAGTCGGTGTGACCTACGCCCTCAAACGATGTATGGCCGGCATTTTCGAAGTGTTTTTTCATTGTCAGCACTTAACGGCACTGAAAGCAATCATCAACAGGAATTATATCATTTAATAACCTAATCAGTCAAAGACAGCTTCTGTCAAATAAATTGGTACCAGGCAGGGGATTGAAAGCTATGTATAATTGGATATGATATTAGAGTAATGGAGTGGATATTTTCTCATCCACCAACGTGCTAAACCCCTGTTGTTTCTTCATGTTTTAAGTACCCACTCCGTGAGGTATTCACTGATGCAGGAGGCTTTGTCTATGGATTCTGCCCTGTTAACCTGGCGAAGTGCTTCCGTCAGTGTTCTCTTCACTTGGAGATTATCCTCAGCGCTGTCACTTTGACTTAGGGCAGTAATAAATCTATGTGTCTTGAATAGTATCAAGATAGTTCGATAATGTAGCCGGTTTCAGTTCACAAAGCAAATGCTTTTTCAAGGTTTACAAAGCTAATTAAAATAGCGCATGACATACACTTTCTTGAGATCAGTTGTTCTTAAAAAACGGTCAAAAAGAAAAACTTAGAGAGATTTCACTTTGCTTTACAAGATAAATTCAGTACGAACCGGAAATGCAAAAATAGTAATGGAATACCTTAGTTAACTAGTTTTAAGAAGCCGTGTCCAAAATAAGCACTTGATGGCCAGTTGATGGCATATACCATTAACGTGGGAAAATGTCAGTTCTCCACAGGGTCACTAAAAATATTCCCTTCGAGACACGTGTCCCAAATATACTGGGAATATTTAAGCACTTTTTCGACTGGCTGAGTTGAAAATGAAAAGTTTGGTCTTCGAAGCAAAAACGAAGAGGGAAAAATGAATAAACTAATGGGAAAAAGGAAGGAAAGAAAGAAAAGCGGAAAGGAAAGAAAAGAAAAAATGGACAACTGAAGAGTAATCAACGACCATTTCCACGACAATTAAGTCTTGGAGCTTCAAAATTCTAAGATTTCTGCGATTCATTACTTATTCCTAATTCGTAGAGTTGTGTGAAAAGTTTATATTTTGCCGCATGGGAAAGTTTATATTAACCGATAAAGAGTCAAGTTACTGTTGTTTGTCTTTGACGATAAAGATTTCAGCAATTGTCAGTCGTTCTTCTCCAAGGTCCGATGTCAACCTTTGCATGGGGTAAAAACTGCAAATTTAATATTCGCATGAGGCTCTAGAACTCTCACTGTTACTGAATGCTAACAAGAACCATGAGACATGCTGTTATATTGAATAAATGATTCGTAATTTAGCTGAATTAGTGAACCAGCCTCAGGCAAGTTATGAGTGCGTGTCAGTGGTATTGAAGCACTTTTTAAGTGACAGCAGAATTTGAACTTGCACGATAGATAGAAGCGTCCTAGTTATTCAACGTCAGAACAAATGCGCAAGTCGAATTCAATATCCTGTTCAATGGGAGCTTACCGCAGCTTAAAAACTAATTATCACCTGATATTTAGGTTAGATTGTTCGCTTCGTGTTAAAACTGGAAACTGGAACCGCTTCGTTGAATTTGAAGCTCTTGTAACACTCCCCTTAGATTGATCGCACTTTATGATTAAGTGGAACCGATATTGCATGCGTTACTGACAGCGTGTGTTTGCCCGTGGGCTAATCTTGACATTGCATAAAAATACAGCAACTTTACGAAAATGACAAATTAAGAAATGACAAAAAATAATAATAATAATAATAATAATAATAAAAAAAGCAAAAATGCTGGCATTACAGTAGGGTGACAGCACTAACAACCTTGACAATTGTTACTTAAGATCTTATCTTTTTAGACTTTATCCAAAGAGCTTAAAACTAAAGCCTTATAAAATAGCATAGAGCCACAATATTAGCTACCTAATTGTTTTGAACAGCAAGCGAGATTTATAAGAGTTTGTCAAGGCGACTTTCTTAATGCAAAAACAAGGAACATAAAAGATGCTATTATGATTTAGCAAAGCAAATTATACCCAAAACGATTGTCAATAAAACTTGTCCGCATTCTCAACCCTTAAAATGACCCCGAGGCTCTACTCTTGACAGCAAAATACACGTATTTAGACAGTGAAAAAGCAAAACCCGTTATTATAGCGTTTAACAAACAATATCTGTTACAGGACGTGATCTTCTTAGGAATGATAGCTGTCTAATCACTTCACGTTGGTCCGTGTCGTGACTTGTGACTACACCTCGGACCGCCTCGTCTTAATTATCGCTGATCTGTTGTACGGTTTTCTTTATTTTTATTTTTTTATTTTTTATGTTTTTTTTTTATCTGGCTATATTTAGCGCTCATGTGAGCTTGGTTAGTTAACAGCCCTGTATTTCACCCCTGTGGTCATGAAGACAATAAATAGATAAATCTCTCTGTCGAGTTACATCAACACTGCATAGTTCGGAAATACTTATTGGACCATGTAACTAGCGCATGCTGTAAACCAGATACTAATAATTGAAACCACAGCTTCTTTTAAAGATAGAAATGCACACACTTACAATTGTAACTACGGATAAAATATAAATGTTATAAAAAGCCGGCTTCCTGGTTGTTAATCGACCTATGAGAACAAGGCGGTGCAAAAGTCGGGGGAGGTGCGATGATAACTGCTACAGCTAAAGAGTTGCAAGCAGTCATGAAGAGTATATCGATTTTTAATGTAAAAACGAGGATGGTTTTCGGAAGTATCATTAATAATAGTTAAAAATCAGTAATAATAGTTTTAACAGCAGAGCACAGCAAACCCTGTAATAATAGCTGCAATAGCAGTAGCAGTAGCAGTAGCAGTAGCAGTAGCAGTAGCAGTAGCAGTAGCAGTAGCAGTAGCAGTAGCAGTAGCAGTAGCAGTAGCAGTAGCNTAGCAGTAGCAGTAGCAGTAGCAGTAGCAGTAGCAGTAGCAGTAGCAGTTAAAGAATGATCCTGCCATTGGAAATGCATGCATAGATAATAACTACCTCATGCAACAACTGATCGACTTCCAATTCACATTATTATTATATTCTTGACCATGCAAGCCTTTGTAGTACTTGTACATACTGATATCACAATGTGGATCTTGTTTTATTTGATCTAATATAATTATTGCAAAGTTCTAAGCTACTATTAGCATTTTGATCTATATAAACTTTATTGAACAGCCCTGGTTTTCAAACTCAACATAATTTTGACTTCTATATATATATAATCGAAAATAAGTAGGCCAATGGTGCTGCAAGACGGAAAACTGAGCTCTCCATAATTGGTCTTAAGCTCTATCATTTCAAGTATCATTTCGATCTAGCATTTCTCATCCAACGCCAAACTATTTGAAAATTGTAAAAAAATTAACCCACTTTAACCAAAAACTGAATTTCAAAACTTAAAAGAATCAGAGGAAAATATCTCATAGATTTATAAACCCCTTTTGACTACTTTTTTTTCATGTATTTGTATTCTTACTTGATCTGTAAGAAATTCTAGTATTGAGCATACTTTTAGCTTTGTCCTCCCATTGTGGGGACTGTTTATGGGGACACTGCTGTGCGCTTGATCAAAATTAAGTTAAGAAATTATTATCGTTATCGTATTTAATGATCATATAACTTTTTTAGGAAAAATTACTCGTATAAACGTAGGCTGTTTCTCTATTATTCTTATAAATTAAAAAGTTTATTAATATTATTATTTACAGCTTTTCGTGCGAATTACTCAAACCACTATAACTGAACGCCCGTAAGCATTCACTCAGCCAAAAAATCTGATTTTTCTTTGATAAAATATAATTTACGTTTCTTCGTTTTTCACAGTTCTGCAGTATACAATAACGTACCATATTTGTTATTTTCATTTTCTACGTAGACATTTTGTTATAAATTTCTCTAATTTAACTTCTAATCTCTTCCGAATGTTTTCCTCGTCACAGTCATTATAGTTATAATGTTCTGTTTTTTTTTCTTTTTCTTGATTATCTGATRAATGTATGGAAGATTGTTTACGGTACCAGTACCTGATTCTGGATCTATTATAGGGTTATTTAGTGTATAAAAGCCATGAAGATCATGTTCAAATATTGAGACAACGCTATTGCTCCGTTTGTTTGATTACAACATCATACTCGCGATCGTGCAATTTTTACGGCTGTCTTAATTGAATCCAGTTATAGACTGAATCTTAATTTCTTTGTCTACGTTTAGGATTTCATTTACAATCACCTCCAAGTCACAAATCGCCCATTTACGTAGTATCGATGACTCTTTGACCCTCATTAATACTGAGTCGAACGTCAAAACTCAAGCGCTTGTCTTTCTTTCACTGTATATTTATATCTCTCCCATACGTCCATTATTCTTTTTCTGGCCTTAATATTCCATTCACCGGCACCCACAGCCCTCGACCACCATGTCTTGATAATTTTTAAGGACCACTTTTTCGTACTCGTCCATATATAGCATACTTATAGGGGTCAATGTTGTTGGTACACAACAAACGTTAGGTACCTTTGGATCTACACTGTTCATAACAGTCTGTACTATAGCATGATTAGTAGCGTTCAGATGTTTAGTAATGGGATATGGGCACTCTCCGTTGCAGAAAAAAGCATAATATCCCGGCGGTGCAACGATCCAATCATTCCAGCCCACATCACTGAAGTCTACATACAAAGGATGTCTCTTACAATACTGTGGCCTGGTTCTCTTCTTTTGCGAACGGCTTTTCGAAGCACTCCGCTTTTTTCGAACATGATGATGCGTTAGCGCATCGTGCGTGTATACAACAAGTAACGGTCTTTCGTCGTGCCATTGCTCCTTATCCATTGACAAATTCCTTATAACGTCGTCAGCCGAGATATTTAAACTGTGACCATTCTTCGTGGATATGTGTACCTCGATATTGTTTTTGTCTGAAGGATTTGAAATCCAATGCTCCACTGCAGAGCGTACGTCGAACGATTCCCACCCACTGTTTGCAGTATTCATAATATGGGAATCGATAAGAGTTCTATTCTCAAGACTCGAAGGTAATCGAGAGTGCGTGATTTGATAAACACTCACACGCATCTCTGGATCGCCTCCATGTCTCCACAAGCCATTTTTATGAAGGCGCAGCTCAGCTGATTTGACTTGCTCCAGTTTAGGCAGAGAGGAGACATCGAACTTTAGTCTTGGCCGACCAGGGGCGTCTGGATGACTTATGGGAAGGTCATCTGTCAAGATAAAAAACCGATCATTTATACGATATTCTAAAATGTAAAGGAATACCCATGAAAGGGAAACATTTAGTAAGAAAACCAGGAAGGGAGACCCGTGTGCCAGTTGTCTCTTTATACTCACCAAGATGATGAAACGCTCGCACTGTATTCACTGATGTCCACTTTTTGTTAAATCTGAAGTTTGTCGAGATCCATTCGGGATGTTCCTCATGGCTGTGGTACAGATCCTTCATATATTTAGGTATTTTGATTCCTCTTCTTGGCCTTGGCCGCGTTTTTATGCCCATTGATTTCAGGATAGCTTTTTCAACCCCTAGGAAAGCTTGACTGTTTTTGATTTCTACTGATGCCCGGGCTGAACTTGTGGAATCAACCGGCGAGGAGTTCACTTTAAAGGGAAAAGCGATTCCAAATATCAAACACCAAACTCGAAGGACCAACATTTTTCTTGCTTAGCGCTGACAATCTACGAAGCAAACAAGAAGTTAGAATATTTTGGCCCAGTTGGTTGTTGTTGGAAGGTTGTTGGGTGCAACGGTCACAGCGGAAAGGGCATGAATGATATCATGTAATGAAAAAACCTTAGTCGTAATCTATTGCTAAGGCATTTCTGGTAAACTACTTATCACTATGTCGCAAAGCTAGACCATTGCTTTTTAAATTACTAGCCGAAAAAATCGGGGGGAAAATCTTCGCTTACTTTACTCACTACTGAGGTCGGGTCAGATTACGATTTTCGCTTTAGAGGAATGTAAGCAATTCCTTCTTCAAATAAATAGCCTTGCGATAGAAGAATGTCGTTTAACGAGCCGACCCGGTTACATCAACGGTGCAGTTGCCGAGTACAGCAAAAAAGTACATCAAATAGCAGTAAGCACACATATTGCGCCTCAGTATGACAGGATGAGTTAATTGCCTTATCGAATTGCTATTTGCTTTCGATGGAGTGTGATCTCCGTTGGATCTAGCCATCCACACCTCAGCGGGGTATTTTGAAGAGTTTTTCTTTGATAATGACTGAGAGGCTGGTTGATGCGATGGATGAGTTAGCAGGGGATGACACATTGGAACATCGCAGAGGGAGACAATGAACCCGGCGGGTAACCCATCAAATAAGCCCCATGGATCTCTTGCGGCAAGAAAAAATACAACGCACGAGCCAATATCAAAAGGAATAGCTAGTAACCTTAAATACTTGACTCTTCAGCCCTCTTCAACTGACAATACACTGGGATTAACAAAGAGAATCCTTCCTATGTCCAACAATGGCACTTTCCCAAAAGCACCTTGGCTTTCAAAGCATCAGTTCTTGCTCAAGGGCTTTGTTTTTCTGGGCCAGTTTATTGTGGTTGTCTTAAGTTATATATATACATATATCAGTATATACAAGAGTTTGAAGAGCAAAACAACAGCTCTGTAGGAGGTCCATTTATGTACTAGAAGAAACGGAAGTTGCTGGGTAATTAAATAGGCCATTAAAAGTGAATTAAAGCTGTTGTTCAAAACCACAAACTTTTGGAACGACTATGCAGCAAACAAGCTTTTTATGATTCTCTTAAACTTATGGTTAAACAAAACAACAAAATGTATCAGTTAAAACGCCAGGAGTTGAAATAAACGATGAGAATATACTAGAAAATCTCGTAAAAGCTTCCGTGACCCAAAAGTGAGCGAATATCCAATATGTAGCATGACGTTAAAAATGACTACAAAAAGGTTTATCGTGAAAACACTTCAGACGACCCTGTTATTTCAATATGACTCGCGTATTTACGCCTCTCGAATGATAACCATGTCTGAGTTTATTATTTTTGTCGGACGGATTTTAGGCCGGAACAATAATCAAAAGTCATAATGTCTAAAACGTTAACCTGCCGGCGAAGAAGCGTTATGATTTAGGATGTTTGAGAGCTTGGAGGCTTAGAAGATAAATACTTGGCTACATTAGTAATGTCAAGGCATGGTAAAGTTGATCCCCCACTTGTTCTCATCGAGATTAGCCAGCGGATCACAACATGAAAGGAGAGCGGAATGCTTTTCGCGCGCACCGACAAAACGAGCTTGACTACTGTCTTTGCGTAGTGCCGCCAGTACGTACTAGGGTGCATGGGGTTTCGGTATACCTTCAGATAACGGAAGTGCATGTGTCGTACGTATGTACCTAAGTTTCTTATCCCTGAAAAACACGAAATATAATCCTATCGTTTTAGTAGCCAATTGACCATGTCTTCAGCACAATACAAGTCCGTGGGAAAACTGAGAGTAATAGTGGACATTAATGTATATGTTTGGAAACCTTATAGTATCGATCGATGGAAGTCAAATCTTTCAAAATGACCTTGACTCATTCACTTTATTTTCGACAATGAGTGCTTGGGATTCAACGTTCTGCAAAATACATTAAGAATGATTTATTTTCGAATGTTATCTTGCTGCTCTGTCCGCTGTTACTTAAAAAGACATTTCTTCTCGAGGGACGTTTGCAACGATGCCAAAAAAAGTCACTTCAGATCTAAACGTAATAAAACAGAGCATTGAAAACTCTCTAGAATGTATAGTTAAGCCATATCTTAAGTCTTATTTTTATTTGTTCTTTTTGTAAATTCTGAATGAATTGTTTTTTCATTTAAACTTTTCGTTCTCAAATAATGCTGTTTTGCAGCATACAAATTGTCTTCTCAAAAGGCGCATTAGTGCTAATATTCTTTTCCAATTTTATTGGATACATTTAAGAACTTAGGTTATTTTTGACTCAACATGTAACGTAATCTTGAATAGATGCAAAACAAATATAGACGATGACAAACAAATGAAAATTTTCATGCCCTGTCCAAACAAGTGACACACAAATGTGCATTTCTTGTGACATAAATTCCATTAATTTTCTAACCTTCATTGTCGTTAACCTTAACTCTGAGATTCCTGGAACGTATCAAGTCAATTCATATTTTTTATTCTCGTATTTTCTTTTACTTCTTTTGAGCCGCACTTTCTTCTCTAGGCCTTACAGTTTACATTCAAACTTCAGAAAACTGACAACCGCAAATTAGTCAAAGCAATCAAAGAATCATTAGGGAATATTTCAATAGCGATTACTATATAACATTTGCAGTTCTGTTGTATTCTGTCAAATAACACAGGTTAATAACGCCTCATGCTTAACAAGAGGTAAGAGTAAGCGACGTGAAATTGTTTGCATCGCAAGAAAATACTCTTCGGCCGGCACGATTCGTTATAATCACTTCAACAATATATCTAATTCTTACAGAAACCTGGATAGGAGTTAAAATAGTGAAGTATACGTTTATGCCAGCGGGAAAACCTGCAAAGAAGGTGTTTTAAAAAGTTTCGAAAAACTTACCAAAGATCTGATTTGAATCGAAGCTCCACGTTGGCTTAAATGTCCATAGTTAATAGGAAGATGGCTAGGTCACGGGCACCCAAGCGAAACTAAAGTGGCCTAATACCCCCGAATAAAGAATATCGAGCTAAGACTGTCACCCACACCAATTATTACTAACAGTTGATTGAACGAAAGGTTGGCTAAGCACGGTGCCAATTCCCCCCTACGTAGATGTTATCCAGCGACGAGAATACAACCTGCTTTTTCCATTTCCGATCCTGCTACCTACGACAGGCTGATCTTTTTTCTTCATGAGTCAAACGCAAATCCACCACCTTAGAACTTTTTTTTATGGATTTTTAGTGTATTTAAAAGGGGCATTCGGTCGGAACACAAGTGGAAATGTTCCTGTCATTTAATTGTTGAGAAGAATTCTATTTATCGTAGGGTTTGATCGATCTTTTCTCGCAGCTAGACCTTGTTCTAAATTTAGACCAATCTTGATAGCCTACTATTAGGTATTTGACTGCAAAACAAGGTATTTCTATCTTATCTTTGTACTATGCGTCATACACACTTCTTACTTTCTAAAGCACCCGTCTATCGTGCACTGGAACTCTTGGATAGAGAAAAATCAACTTGCTTGATTCTAGGGTAAGGCAATTGGCTTGTTTTCTGACATTTTCCCTGAAAGCTGTGGTTCAGTAAGATTTAGAAAGTTTGAAGAAAGTACGGGAAATATATGTTTCGGTGCCGGAGTGAATAAGACTTCTTCATTATATGGATCTGTAGTTATGTTTAGCATGCATGTTTAGCTGCGTGCAGAACGACTGCGTAATTAACCTTAGTATATTTTAAGTAAATTACCTTGATTTTAGCTTAGCCGGTAAAGTTAGTGTTGAACGCTGAATCCAAACGTGTCCACAGGGTCATCGTTAACCTGGTTCCATTCCGTAAAAAAGAAAACAACAAAAATAACTTACAATGATTTTTCGGCTATACAAACAGCACTGGGGGAGAATGATATACGTCACAAACAACAGAACAAACAATCGTATTCACCGTGCAAAGATGACTCTTTACACATCCAACACCTCGCGAAGATCTTTTAATTAAATACCTCGGGTTTGTCAAAACCTTCATAAGGGGTCAGGATCAACGGCTTCACACAATGGGCATGCATTCATTAAGGGCTAAGGCCCAGAAAACAACAAACAATTCGCCCAGAGCCTTAACGAGAACTGACACACAAAATATGTCATGTTTGTGGCTAGAACCATCTGTGTCTCTTATGGTATGCACTCGATCAGAAAGGAAACAATTTGGTGAATAACTCGTGGTAAATTAGCGCACTGCACTTGTTCGTTTTGACAGTGAAGGGAGATTACAGGGCTATTTTTTGAAGCTCGGGTTTTTTTTAGTTCTCCTTATTTAGGTCATGTTGTGTTAACAAAACTAGACATCGCGATCCGTGACGGGCTAGGGTTGCCCGTTGACAGCTCTACTTGTAAGTAATGTCTAAATATTTCCGGATCTAATTAGTCATAGTATGATCTAACCGTAGCACACGCGCGGGATACCCGGCAGGTACATGAGATTTGTATTTGCTCCGTAGCCTCTAACTTAAGCCAACACACACGTACGCATAAATCTTACACTAACAGAACTGGAATACTTTGTTTAGAGACTATAAAACTATGAAAATCGAATTTTGATCTATGAGGAATATTTATTTGGCTGTTCTAAAGTTCGAACCTCATCCATTAACTTTTTGCTCATTTCTTGCTGCACACTCTCTTTGGGGAGGTCTTACGCGGCATTACATACAAACTACTGCTCATGGTTCTAAAGAATAGATCAATTAGCACTGGTATTGTAGGGTATTAAGTAAGATAAGAGCCCCCACGAAGTTTGCAGAACAAAACGATAGTGTGAATAAGAATAAGGTACAGAGAACTAACTATGTTTCTTACAATGGCTATTGAAGAGAAAAGAAATCAAATCGGCGTGTGTTGTCCAAGAGACTTAAGATAAAGAGCAACTATTAATTCACACATCTTTGCTAACACAATGGATAACTAAGAATTATCTGTTTCCTATATGAATCTTCTGGATAATTCGGAAGACAAATGAATACGAATCTTTGTGCTTGAATTTCGACAGCTGTTGCATTTACTTTTAGCAAGTGCCTTTATTATATGCCTTGATTCCATTCAATGCGATTTTACGGTTTCTGCCTTGAGAATATATTAGAGTTAATGGTGCAGAAACACATAACCTTATCAAAAATACAAAACTGAATATTATTGACTTTACCTGAACGAATCTCTTATTATGACAAAACCTAATGAATTTTTTTTTTTATTTTTAAAAAGCACGTTTTCGCCTATTTTTGTAAGCCAAAACTGAGCAAAGTCTGATAATCACTTACCACGACAATTATAGAATAGCCAAATTGAAAAGCTTAAGTCTTATTTTAAGTATTTTATGGAACTTTCTCAAGAAAGAAACAAAAGACCATGTTAATCTTCAGAACTTCATTCGGTAGAATTGTTTGATCCAAATTGCAGGAAAAACGCCATGTTGACCTGGGGTATTTAAGGTCTCTATTAAGGTTACACGGTAATAATTTCAGTAAATTTGATTTTAGGTTGGAATGACCTGTATTTTAAAATAAGAGCGTCTTATCCTAGTTCTATATGTTGTTCATATATGACGAATTCTTGGAATTCCGTAGATTTTTGTTTTATTTACTTAAACAGTGCACCATCCGCAGCTGTTGAGACATACTTTGAGAAACAACTGCCTTGTGGCTGTCAAATTTTAATTGAGCAAGAGTTTGTCAAGTCCAACCAATATTTGTTTTTTCTTTGAGTGCTTATTTACAGTAAAATGACAATAAAAACATTATACCAGCACAATAAAATAATGTGTTGTTTACACTAGATAAATACCAACATTGTATTCAGTAATTTGATTGATTGACAGCGTTGCCAATTTTGCCTAAACTTCCCAAAACTGGTCTGTCAGTTTCTCAGTGAAGAACGCCTGAACGACATGACCACTTCATATGCGTTTTTCTTCTTCTTCTCTTTATTGATATCATTTTTACATTCTTTTTTCACTTGTTCTCTTGTTAAACTAATGATTTTCTTGTACGAAGAATCACTGATTTTACCTTATTTCTTATTAATTCCATCGACTATCTTTCGTTTTCTCACTGGACTCTGAAAGATGATTTCCGCTCAGGCGGTCGAAACGTCAGCCTCACCAACAACAACAGTCTTTCTCAAGACTACACTCACCCGGACGGATCAAACTTCACAACAAACTGATTCATTTCGTTTAGCAATTCGTACGTAATTTTTCGATTTTTTGTTAATTTATTGCCCTTTTCTTTCAAGGCATACTACATATTAATTTTTAGTTTTTCTCTCTGATCCCACTCCTTCTCTCTCTTTTCTTTATTTCAGTTTCGCTGGTTTTATCGCTGTTGACTTCTTTTTCAATCAAAGCCATTCTTGCTCAATTATCTCAACAACAAAAAAACTTAGAAAAAAAAAATGAAGAAAAGCAAAWATACTTCTATTCTGATATAATATCGTACCTAATAGTTGCTTGTCTTCTGCAACATCTTCTTGCGAAAGATAGTATCGTAACTAAATTTTCTTCTCCACAAACGTATTATTCTCTTCATAATGCAGTTATACATCCAAAATGTTTGAACTCCAGCTACTTGATTTACTTTCTGACTTTTCAATCGACTCATGACGAGAGGGGCATCAAGTGCTGCCTTCCAATTGGCCTATTTCCGAGAGCCTTTTTCTCTTGATTGGGGGCCAATTCCTTGCTCGCGTGCGTGCTAACTTACAACTTGTTTTCATCAACAATCTGTAACCCCATGTTCAAAAGAGCGGACCGCGGTGACTGCATGGTTCATCTCAGTTTTTAATACAGAGTGACCTCGCTTCACTACATAGCTACTCGTTAACGGAAAACTTTGAAAATCCAAATTTTACGGAGATCTATGCAAGTACCCTTTATACTGAATCAGTCACGTGCTGGATGGCGTTTTATAGTTCCTGGCAGAGATCGCCCGAAATAGTACTTTGCGTTTGAACCAGAGAGACCTTAAAGACCCCAGGTTAATATGATTAAGTAGAGAATGATGTACAATGAAAAGACACGTTTAGAAAATCACGCTATGACTTTGTCGGTCCTTCGAGAAAAGTTATTAATAGTGGAAAAAATGTCGAACGTTCGTCTCGATGATATCGTTGTAAAAACGGTGGCAGTAAAATTAGACCACTCAACTCTGTGGAGGAGATGAAGCACATCCTCTGCTTGCAGGGTAATATGCCAGAACTTGGCGTTGTTAAAATAAATAAAACCTTCAATAAACTAATACTAATAATGATTATCTTTGATAGATAATGTTGAGGATTTAGGTGATAAACGGTTCAACTATGTTGTAAGGTCAGTAGATAAGTGTGCCATTTAGACAATCTTACCGAACGAGTTTGAAAAAAATAACATGATAGCATCTTCTAGATCCCCTGCCGAGGTCCAAGTTAAATTCTTGTCCTCTGGATTTGCCCTTGTCATATGCTTATTTATTCCTAATAATTGAAAAACAATATAACGATTTCAAAAAAAGCGGTAATCACGTGCGTAAACGTGCCGCATTATTCTCAATGACGTGAAGAAGTCGGATCCCTAGCAGAGATGTCAAAAGAGAAGAGCTACAGCAGCACATATATCAAGCAAACTCTCACGAACGTCTTTTCAAGGTAAAAAAAAGTCTTAATGCCTTCGGTAAATGACCCCGTGGCGTGTGAGCAGAGCATAGTATATACATTTTTCATTTTTAAGAGCACCTGAGAGCTACAATCGGTAGTTAATTGCCAGTAACAGCACAGTTTTTCGTGATGTATTCCTAATTAAACGCTTGTGATGTCTTTAACTTCTATTCTTCTACTTCCCGTCGTTTGAAAAAGCTGTGCTGCTAGACTCAACACACACTTGAGTCTCAACGATGCAGAACAAGGCCAAACAACACGAACAGATCTTGAAAAACACTTGAAAAATCATTGCGAAATTTAGGAAACAAAAACCTTTTTCTAAGCGTTACCTTTTCTATTTCTCAAGCTTTTGACGCCGGATTCTTCGTCTCCCTTTAGTGCGGTTTGACCGTAGCCCAATTTTAGTTCTCCTTAAAGCGACAACACATTTTAAATGCATGGAGCGATTTCTTTTGATTTGCTGAACTTGACCTCCTAATCAAAGATGTTACACAGATCCACGCCTTCTTTAGAATCCGTCATCATTTTTCATCATTCTGTTCATTGAATCGGATGCACTCTTAATTAAGACTCCTTTTACCTCGTGTGGGAGCAAGATAGAGAACCTGTAAGCTAGTCGCGACCGAGATGAACTTGACCTTCGTTACGTCCATAGACTCTTGAGTGGTTAGGTCTCATCTTTAATGCCAGTGGCGGTCAGTCAATTGAGCGCAGCCAATCTGCGTGCTTAAAGTCAGTTCCGTAAGGAATACGGTAAAGGTTCAGAAGAGTATATATTGCAAAGTTCTTATATCAATGATTATATTTTTAGACGTGACCTTCACTCTTAGCTAATGTTTACTCGCTTGTTTATGCTCAAGAGACTGAATCACACGGGGGTATTTCGTATTTTTGCCGATTCTT